GAAAAACACGAGTTGGAAAAAAGTGACTAATGTTATAAGTAAAAAGGACCCCAGCCAAAATAAAGCGTGTGTTGGGATGCTGCACTCTAAAGGGACTTGACAAGGAACACGTTGAAATAATTATTCTGATGGTTCTCAACTCTGCTTCTTTATTTTTGTTACAAAGATATCAATGCAGAGATATTTAGAGATTGAGAAGATACATATTTCTGCATAGTATAGTGAAAATACAAAAGTCTTGGGGCACCTGGGTGGCTCAGTGGGTTAAAGCCTCTGCCTTTGGCTCAGGTCATGATCCCAGGGTCCTGGGATCAAGCCCCACATTGGGCTCTCTGCTCAGCAGGGAGTCTGCTTCCTCCTCTCTCTCTGCCTGTCTCTCTGCCTACTTGTGATCTCCGTCTGTCAAATAAATAAATAAAATCTTTAAAAAAAAATACAAAAGTCTTTGGATCAGACAAACCAAATGGTTAATTCCATCTCTATAATTTACAAAGATGATGATGCGTGCGGGTTTTACTTTCTCAGAAGGTCAGTCTCCTCCTCTGTAATGTAAGAGCAAGACTAAAAAAGTATGATGAAGTTAAAAGTTGCTTTATTTTTTAAGAAAACGCTCTTTGTCTACCTTAGACATTATGTTTTTGCTGTTTCATATGGTTTTACTTCTTCCTCTCTCTTCCACTTACTTTAGCTTTTAGACCACACACACTGCATATATGTGTTCACATGATGCTGTTTAGTACATATGATACACACATTTGGGGGACTTGATTTCTCCTTCCAGATTAAGGTGAAACATTTCATCCTCGATTTATAGGCAAAGCGGGTTACGAAAGTGTAGACTGATGTGTGACCAACAGCCCTGCCTGGCAAACATGAACTACGAGGTGGCTGTAACAGTTCCTCTCACCCCTGCAGGTGCCCTGAGGCCTTTGCTTTGGTGAGATCAGTTGCAAACTCACCAATTTGTCTGCTACTGTCTCACTTTGGCCAGTGGGATGGTCAGCAAACACTGCTTGTAACTACTCTGGCCTTGTCTGGGTAATGAGATTGATTTTAAGCTGGGCCTTCCTAGACGTAGAACAATAAGAACCACGGAAGACATGGCAAGCCAATTAGCCATAAGGAGAATGGATAGGCCTTTCACACACACCAAAATCCACGAGTCCTTAGACAGCCTCACCGATTGTAAGCTTTTACACCTTTGTTATCCTTTCTCTTCTCCCAGGGTTAGCACCATATGTGACACCTGAAGGTGGTAAACAACTGATCATCTTAACAGGTTTGTCATTTAACATTAGCCTGGGAGCTTCCCTGTTTGGGTGGTGTGTGCATCTTTCCAGAACTGAGCCTCAATAATGGTGATATGTTGTCTGCCCATCTAGTAGACAGCCAGTTCCCACATCCTGGGCACCCCCATCCCCCGGATCCTGCCCTAATCTCTAACTGCCCACAGTCACCTAATATAGACAGCAAATGGGACAAGGAGAAACACAGAATTTAAAAACAAGTGCTTAGTCAGAGGAAGATCAATGTAGACCTTGTTTGCCACTTGGCTAAAGGGCTCATATTTACTACACTGGCTAAATAAGGTTAACTTTCATGGTCTTCATGGTGTGGATTTTTTCACCTTATTTAATCTCTTTTTTTTCCTGTAGCAAGTGGTGAAAGGAGTTGGAAACACACTGTGGCAGCCCCAGCAATGAAAATGGTTTGGTTACAGGGACACTGACAAGTTCTGCCATAAGCTTCTTCCTCACTAGCCTCCCAAGGCACTGAGTTCTACCATTAGAATCCCATTATTTTGTCTGCAAGAAAAGATCTCATCTTTCATTGTTAGCACCATTTCATTTAAAATGCTTAGGGTGAGGACGCCTGGGTGTTTCAGTCAGTTAAGCCTCTGCCTTCGGCTCCGGTCATGATCCTGGGGTTCTGGGATTGAGTCCCGCATAGGGCTCCTCGTTCATCAGGGAGCCTGCTTCTCCCTCTTCCTGCCATTCCTTTTCTGGTACAGAGTGTGTGTGTGTGTGGTGGGGGTGGAGCTGTCCTGGGTCTTGGGGATGGGAGAGGGGGTGCTGAGGACAAAGGAAGACTGCAATATGATAAATGTAAAGGAAGTTTCATCTAGAGCGAGACCTCTGTGCAGATGAAATAGAAATATATTAACTGTGACTCGATTTAAAATTTAAATGCATTGCCTTTCAGAATGGACCATCTGAAAATACTTCGTAAAAACGAGTAATGTTCTTTTCTAAAATTTAGCCTTGTCATGGGGCACACGGATACATACACTGCCTGAAAGCTACAATACCAATGATTTGTTCTTTCTTCTTTTCAGAACAAACAATAACTCAGAAACCAGAAAATAACCAAAGATACATATGAATGAGCTTAAAAAATAAGGCAAACAATTTTAAGTATAACTGAAAAACAAAAACAAGGTGTCATATTCTTTAAAACTTTTCCTATTATTTAAAATATCTCCTTTCATTTCAGGGACTCCTGGGTGGCACAGTTGGTTACACGTCTGACTCTAGGTTTCAGCTCAGGTTGTGATCTCAGGGTCATGAGCGCAAGCCCTGAATCAAGCCCTGCATCAGGCTCCACTGTCAGTGTGGAGTCTGCGTGGGTTTCTCTCTCCTTCCCCCCACCCCCCTCAAATAAATAAATTAATTAAAAAATATATCTCTTCAAAAATTTTTAAAAATAATAAAAAATTTTAAAAATCTACTTTCATTTTAGAAATCAAAGTTAACTTAACAATTATTATCTGCTGAGGACTCCAGTTCAGACTGTAGAACTACATAACACAAAACTGGAAACATATGAAGGTTATACATAGGAAAACTGGGATTTTCTGAATATATTTTTATTTTTTCCTGTATAATGCAGTTGATTGTTCTAATGCTTTCATATTGCAGGAATAATAACAGTAAATGAAAAAATTAACATTCATTAAGCTTTTATTAAATATCAGAAATTTCTAAAATTGTTACATGTAAAATGTCCATGACATGATGTGGTAGAAACTATAATCTCCATTTTACAGGTAAGAAAACTAAAGTTCAGGAGACTTAACTAAGAGCATACTGCAGTAAATGCTAGAGCCAGGAATTTAAGAGTAATTGAAGAATCTTAGGAGGATATTTAAATTCATTTGACTTTGGTAAAATGGTTTCTCAATGGTACCTAATTCATATCTTAATGCAAACAATAGCTTAGAAGCAATTGTAATAGTTTAGCTTAAACCCACTACTACCTTGAACCATGATCAGGCAGTCCTATGATCAGACACCAAAAGTATAACCTACTTTGATCTCATTCAAAACAATTTCTCCCATAAGTGGCTATCATCTTCTCTTATTAAAGTTATTCTTCATTTATTAGAATCCTATTTTTCCCCTATGTGTTTGACATAAAAGGAAGAGAATTCCAAAATCTTACCAAACCTTCAATGCATTCCACAATTAATCTCCAACCCACTCACTTATTCACTTGTTCAATGACTATTGAGTGCCCACCACATACTAGTCACAATTCTTGATGCCCAAGCCTTTATGGAGTTCCTTGTATTTTGGTAGGAAAAAGAGACACTAGATAGATAAAATAATATCGATATATTCTTGTGTCAAAATCTGGGAGCTGTCACACAGTAACCATTTATCTCCTTTGTCATTAAGTTTACCTCTGAATTTTAGCTGGGTGCACAGCCACACAGAATAAAATCTACATTTCCTGACCTCTCTTAAGCTCTGTATGGCTATTCGACTAAGTTCTGGACAAAGGGATATAAGCAAAAGATATCTGAACAATGTCAGAACATCTTCTGAAGAAAAGACAGTGTGCCTTTCTCATTACTTTTTCCTTTTTCTGCTAACTAAAATATGAATGTGCTGGCTAAAGCTGGAGTAGCCATGTAGGCCCAACGGGACCGCATTTTAGGGATAATGGAGCAAAAAATTAGAAGGTAATTGAGCCCCTGATGATTATGTCAATCACACTAATCCTAGATTATTTACCTCTGGACTAAGTTTATATGTGGGAAAAACAAACTTCTGTCTTTTTAAAATTTCTGTTTTGGGGTTTTTCTTCCTTCCATTTGACTTTAATCTTAATGAAAAATATAAATAAAAATGAAGCAAAATTAGGGACCAGACAGACAATGGCACCATGTGATATTTTAGACAAGGTGACTGGGGAAGTGCTTTAAAAGGAATCAGTAGTTGAGTGGAGTCTTGATTACATGAAAGAGTGAGCCAAATGGGTAGAAGAAGAGCATGTTACAGCAAGCAGGAAATAGTAAAAGCAAAAGCCCAGAAATGAGAACATACTTCCTCAGTGTTCAAAGACCAGCAAGGAAGCCAACAAGGCCCACCATCCAAACCTATTATTCTGTCATTCTCCCAAACAAGAATCCTTGACTTCAGACCTTGCAAAGATTAGTCAACTTTGTAGGCACTGTTCTTTATAGGGTCTCTTCAAAAAGTATGACCCAGTTATGAGTCTAAGCTTTTACTCAAATAGCTTCATGGCTCAATCTTTAACACCATTTCCAAGTGTTTCCCCACTTTGCCATTCAAATATTACCCATTTTTCTGAATCTAGCATAAGTTCTCTCACTCCCACCCAAGAAATGGTTCCACCCATCCACTCCACATTGCTTTCTTCATTCTTGAAACTCTGTAGATATTCCTCATACTTTCTTTTCAATGGTCAATGACCTATCATTCTGGTCTAATTCATGTATGTCTCTTGCCACCTCAATAAGATGTAGCATAAGATCCACATCTTAAAAAGTTTTAAAAATCCCTTTTGGCTACCATCTCCTCAAAGAGAAGGTGCTCCATAAAAACTTTCTGTATGTTCATTCAACCATCTCGCAAACTACAAACACAATGGAGAGAACCTAATCTTTCTCTGTTCCTCCCTTTCGCCAGGAAGATATGAGTAGCTGAAGTATTTGGTGCTATATATAGTCAGTTGATGTCAGCTGGATGCCAGTCTCTTCAGAAAGGCTCAGTCCCTAGTTTGAGTCAGAGCTAGGGACCATGCCGTCCCAGGCTCAGGGATAAAAACCATCGGGCCCCAGTGCCATCCATATTCCATCTCCACTCTTCCCTCTACAAATTGGGACTCATCCCTGCTGAAAAGCACGGTCTAAGAGCAAGGTGAGTATATTGTTTCCTAAAATGTTTTATTAGTCAGTTGTCCGGGGAGGTTCAGAGTTATGACTCATAAATGGGCATTCTTGCTTTAAAGGACAGCTGTTGATGCTAATATTAAAATGTCACCGCCAAAGAGTTCTGGTTTAATCTAGTGTGCTTTCTTCATTCTTACAGTTTACTAGAACTGATGTACCGTGATGCTGATACAAATGAAGGCCAACAAGGAAACAAAGACAGATTAAAATACACTGTGGAAAAGAAAGAGGGAGGGGACAGGAGGCAGTCTTTCATTGTTTCTCATTGCCTGGTGACCATTGTACAAGTGTATAGATAAGACTGGGCCTGAAACTCTGGGTATTATCTTCTGTTCACTGTGACACTGCCTGTCAATGAATAACATGCTCTGTCACCAGATAGAGAATGCATATTAAAGTCACTCAGTAGAAAGCAATAATAAATGCTCTCTTTCAAAAGGATGATTATAAAACACTCCAAATGAGTTCTTCACATTGCCTCAATAACATTCCTTTATTTTCTACAGGGAACAAAAAAAAAAACATGCTTTCACATAATACCATGGTGAAGCAGAGAAAACAGCAAGCATCAGCCATCATGAAGGAAATCCATGGAAATGGTATCAATAAAAATCCTTTTTTAGCATTACTATAACTCAGCATTAACAAAGATCCTTCCTGATGTTATTTTATATTCTATAGTTTACTTCCTTAAATTCTTGCTATTCTGTCATAACAAACCTGGAGCTCTAAGGGTGTAGAAAAGCCTATGGTAACTAATCCTTTTGTAGTCATCCTTTCTCATCTGAAAGCTATTTTCAGATGAACAACTGCTCTAAAGGAATGAAGCAATCAGACAGCTGATGTACATTCTGCTTGGCTTGCCTTTCACATTCACATTATAAGTTAATATCACTCTCGATTCCTTTTTGGGACACGTCTCATACTTGTCTTCATGGTCCAACCCACATGGCATATCTTGATTTCTTTTACCTTATAGTACATAAACATTAAATTATATTCTATCATCCTTTTTGTACAAAAGCTGTTATGTTGGAATTCATATTGTGAATTTCTTTAACCCTGAAACAAGTCTTCATATTTAATAATTGGCTTACTAAGATATTTGCAGTAGAAATCTACTTTTATTTATAATCTCTAGGGAAATATAAAGTTTATGTAGTCTCAAAGCATATGACTCAAAAAAATTAATATAAATTAGGTCCAAGCAGATATTCCACTCTCCTTTTCCTTAAGTTCTAGCAAATAACTCTAAAAAGCAATGCTTTATAAACTGCATATGATTGTTATAAAGGAAAATCAACTTTATGAGCAAAGGATAGCATCAACTTTAAAAGTAAATGGGTAGAATATCTAGATGCTTTTAAGGGCTGATTTGAGCCATTCCAGATATATTTGTGGAATTTTCAGAATGCCTCCTTATTTCCCCTCCATTGACAAGGAATGTAGCCTTTCACCTGAACACTATTGAGACCTAGAGGCATGAGATCTGGTGGGGGCAGCCAGGAACAGGGGTAAGTATAGTGTTTTCATATTTCACCTTCCATAAAGCACACTGCATAGAATCAATCAAAGATTGTTTTAGATATGCCCCATACAATGTAGTTATATCTAAAGAGTCCTGTTAAGTTTCGTTTTCTATTTTCTGCAATATAAAATTAGCATACTGGATTCAATTTAGTTTCCTTGTTTTATCACGATGTCAGACTAGCCCAGAATAAAGAGAGAATAATTCTGATCAGATTCTAGAACTAAACTTGTACCTGTTCAAAGTTAAAAAATTCACACTTCTCTTAAATGTTTGTGCTTCTCTGTAGTTCCTGCATCAGGTAGTTTGCTTGAAATTGTTTTTATAGTTTTCCTGATCAACAAGGAAAAACTAGATGAACACTTGAGTTTGAGAATAAATTATTTACCTTAAAACTGGGCTTAAGTTATTTTCTAATTGCATTCTAATCATTAATCAATTGATCCATTTAATGTATTCCCAGTTTAAATCATGTGTTGGATTCTACTCTATGTTAGCCCTGACATAGACCTACAAGGGTAAGAATATCTTTTTCTTTTTCTTATAACATAACTTTTGTGTTTATGAAATATAAAGAAAAAATACAATTCTATCTCAAAGGGGAAAAACTCTCCAAACTATTATCTTACTACCAGTAGGTCCTGGCCATGTAAAGTCTGCTGAAGCCTCCCTCCCAAGTCACGGGTAGATTTCCAACCCCTTTAAGTGGAGTCACATGCTCTGCCTGTGTTTGGAGGTCAAGTATCCCGATAATGCAGGATGATCGCAGACTTTCTTAACTCATCTCAGATAAAATAGCTGTAGTACTTTATGAAACTGCTTAAATAATTTCCCTCTCTTTTCTACTCTGACATCTTATATGGAATTTTACTACTTGGATATGACATGTTGTCTAGAATTGTCGGGAATTGTCGTAGATGCAGAGATGAGACAGACTGCAAAAATACCTTTGCGGGAATAATCTTCCAAACTTTCAAATATTACACAGCAGAAAAAATCTGGATAATTTAAGATACAGCATGCAACCCTTTCGATCTTAATTATAACACTTAGTAAATCAAACATGAGTTGGATTTTCCTTTATAAAACTGAACAGAGAAGGATGTTTCCCAAGCCCTTCTCTCACCTCCTCTCCTTGTGCATCAGGATCTTTTTTCTTTAGTATGTTGTAACTCCTTTATTTCTTATATCACTTTTCAAAAATGTTTAACCTGGGGGAAGAATGAAACACGACAATGAGCTGACTAAATGTATTGTCTTTTTACATGAACTGCAAGTTCACTCCAATTCTTACCGTATAGGAGACACACTAATAGCTGGTGAACCTCTGAGATCAATTGGTAGGAAAATGTAAGAATCAAAAAAGGAGAGTTTTACATCAGAGCACTCATTCCATCTGAAGGAGACATAACTGCAAAGATTTAATGAAAAATCCTACCCATCTAGACTAAAATACACAAAACTGGATAGAATGAGTAAAAATGCAGATAACTTCCAGCCTCTACTAACTATACCTCAAATTGTTACTCATTATGGATCCATTATGTTTGTCATGTCAGATTATGTCCCAGCAGCAAATATACCACACTCCCAACAAATAATAAATAGAAAGTATCCCCTGACACTAAGGCTCTATACTTCCATATCGTTATGTCATTATATCATGATCATCATGATGCTCAGCCTCAATTTTAGAAGCAGTAGAGCTGATGGTAGTAGCTGTCTTGTGTTACTGCTGTGAAACAAAACTTCTGGGGTTTATACAGAAGTAAGAGAACCATGTTGCTGCCATCTAACAAGTGCTATTCTAAAAGAAAGGCAAAAATACACAAATATTTTGCTATTATCCATGCATGAATTAGTTGTGGGGGCAAGAATAGTTGGCTTATCAAAGTTTCATGCCCACCAGCTCTGTGCCATTTACTCCTAATTAGTACATATTCTCTGCTATTAATCCTGTTCCTCTCTCACTCAGTAACTCTTTCAGACTTGAATACTGGAGGAGGAGGGAGAGAGATAGGAAGCATCAAATGATAGGGAGTGATATGTTGACAGAAAAAGGAGGGGGCGTAAGATTAGAAGGAGGCGATGCTCTCTAGAGCAACTGGCATCTGTCCAGAAGTGGTGGGAAGAAACCAGGGAGGGAAATGAATTATGAGACACTATGGACCTGGAGAAACAATCTGGGGGTTTCAGAGGGGAGGTGGGTGAGGGGAAGGGATAACAGGGTGACAGGTATTGAGGAGGGCACGTGCGGTGATGAGCACTGGGTGGTATACTTAACTATTGAATCACTGAACACTGCATCAAGGACTAATGATGTACTATACAATGGCTAACAGAACATAACAATAATAAAATAAAGAAGTAGTGGGGAAAAGGAATTGGAATGAAAATACCTACAAGAAGAACTGGGCATATGTTGTCCCCGGGGCTTACACACAGATATAATTGACAGTTTAGAAGAACTTCAGGAACAGAGAAGACCACAGTGCCTCGGAAGGCTGCTTCAGTCACCCTACAGTTTTTTTGCTGAGGCTCTGTGAGGGCTGTTTTGGTATGTTTTTTGTTTATGTTTTTAATTTTTCCCTGCATGACTGGTGAACAGCTTTTCCCAGCACACAGAAGAGGACTGAGCAGCCTGTTTTTGTGACTTCAGGAAAAGAGTTTAGCTTTGTGGTCTGAAAACAGGAAGCCTGGGTTCTAAATGGAGTGCTGTTGTTGATATGGTACCAGGAGCCCTGGGTTCCAGACCAGACATCAGATGCCTCATCTGAACATGAGGAGGTTCGATCTGCTGATACATTTAATTCTAACATTCCATGATTCTGATTTACTGAGCTGTGTGCGGTAGTCAAACATCAGCATATTTGAGTTTCTCCAATAACAAAGACACTGATAATATTGACTTAAATTTCAAGGGTATTTTGAAAAGTATAGAGTATAAAATCTAGAAATTCAGATGGAAGATTTGTGAAGACCCCTTTTGCTTTTCCTGCATCAGCATATCTTAAACTATAATTTTAAAATCAAGCTATCAATGTTAAAATTAGGATTCTGAGAAGGTCTTAAATACCACAGATCCAATATGGAAAGTTGGGGGAGAAAAAAATCTTAACCAAATGCTTCAGTGTACAAGTTTATTAGTTTTCCTTGGTTTAACTTTTCATATTAGTGTTCCATAAACCCCCCCAAAAAGTGTGGGTTTTTTTTGGAAATTGGTATGCAGTAACATCTTGTGAATTCAGAGATTTTCTGAGCATGCCATAGGTTTCTAAACTTCTAATGAGGTCCTTCAGAAAAGTAGCAGCAGAGAGGTAGGCTAAATTCTAGTTACTACCCAAGTAGAAATCACAGTATTTAAGTCTAACCATACTATTCTATCATCCTTGTTTCTTTGTTGTCTTTTTCACTCTAATAGGTTGTACATGTGCATTTCATAAACAGTACTAGATGATTGTGTAATTCAAATTGTGTAATTCAATATACTGGTAATCTCATTTTCTTAAATTTTTATAAAATTACAGTTATTAAATGATAATATTTTAATAGTAAGTTTTTGAAAACTTTATAAAATATCTGTAGAATTCAAATCAAGGCAAAGAGATATAAAATGGGAAGTTAAAGAATCTCAGATGGATTTCAAAATCAATTTCTTAATGCAAAGAAAATTATTAATGGCCTTATTATCAATTGTAGTCTTTCCAGGTATTATTAAAAAATCACAGTCTGGACTATTATCTTTCATGTAATATGTATATATGTATGTTACATTTTGAAATAAAGCATATTTTATGCACTATTATTCAATCCATTTAGGCCAACTATCTGCAAACAAGCAGGAGACCTGCGCAAGTACAGAGAAAATCGTTGGCCTCAAGCTTCTAAGGAAATCGATAGGACCACCTTAGAGCAAGTCAGTTTCAGTTAACTCTCCTCAAGTGGTTTTGCCCATTTTACCAGAATTGTAGCTGCCAGAGAATCATGGGGAAAGAGATTTTTTTTAAAGATCTTTTGTCTTACTACAATTATGTGTAAATGAGTATCTTTACAAACTATGAATTAGATTCA